TGTGTGTCTGTGTGTGTGTGTGTGTGTGTGTGTGTGTGTGTGTGTGTGTTTAGCCAATAGGAACGATGGAATAAAAGCATACAAAATCAACCAATACCATGAAACAATAATTAATTTTTCTCACCATCTCATTCCTGCCACAGAAAATCTATATTTCTAGAGACAATAGTTATTTGCATTTTTATATGCCAAAGCTGAAAAAAGAAAAAAGAAAAAAAATGTGAACTCAAGATAACTCCATTCATTGATCTTGTGTGTTTTTCCCATCTCAAAGTCTTTCACTTTTTTTTTTCTGTCACATTGCTGCTCTGGAACAAAGCCAGACACCATGAGGCTCCTGGATAGTCAGGTGATGGGTAGGCTGACATGCTTTCCTATGGATGGTTTCTTGACGAATCTTTGGGTAACTTTCCAGAGAGGTTCATTTTCCTGTCTTGTATCTGTCAGCCCCACGACAACATGGCTTCCACTGCTGTAAACAGATGATGCCATGATCGCAGGGAAGCATTCTTCCCACGTCTTTAGATGTTGCCTCCAGCGTCTTCAGAGCACTGCTTCCTGGCCCTTTGTCCTGAACAATCGTGTCCTAACGCCATTTGGTGGCCCCCAGAAAGGTGTTCTGTGTTGGGATGTAAGGAGTGACAGGCAGAGGAGCATGTTAGAGACGCTCAGCCGTGAAAGCCATCCACAATGGGGAGTAGATTGTCAGTGTGATGACACTGGAGTTATATAAAGAAGATCCCTCACTGTTAGAAAAGCAGGGAGAGAAAGTTAATGAGAGAAAATCAGACTTAGTCTTATGACGCTGCAGAGGAGGAGGCACTCATATTCAGTATGGCGAGATGTACTGATAAGTAAATACAGATGTCTGCATGCACAGGTCTGAATAACCACACCGCGCCAGTCCATCCACTGAGGACACCGGGCACAACAACATCCCAGTAACAACATGTGTATCCAGAGTCCTTATCTTGGTTTCTAAATATGATTCGACCCTGGGAGGAGCCAGAACTCAGAGAAATGGTGGTTTCTAGAGCCAAAGCAGGCAAAATAGATGATTTTGAAAAGGTCATTTAGTGCCCGAAAGCATGGAAGTCCTCAGACACCAGTGGGTTCTGCTGAGGCTCGAGAGAATCAAAGCCGGGCTGAGGTTGTTCCTACTGCCAAAGATGGAGAAATGCGGGGCAGCAGGACCAAGGGACCAGTAAGATGGCTCAGCAGGTTAAGGCACTTGTCACCAGTTCAATTCCTGGAGCCTACTCGGTGGAAGGAGACAACTGGCTGCACAGAGTTGACCTCTGCCCTCCACACGGGGTCTCTGGTACACTTGCCCACTCATCCCCACATCACACACATACACACAGCAATAATGATTTCTAAAGGAAACAAAGGTGATTCCAGACAAAACTAAAAACATAATAAATCATCTCAAGGGCTGAGTCAAACTAGACCCATCTACTTAAAGGATATTTGGGAGCCCCAGCTTGAATAGAAGCTGAGGGTCTCGTGGGAATGGCAACTCAATGTTAATCTGATTTTGATGGCTGTGTCATGTAGTAGGAGAACGCCTTTGCTTGTAGGGAATATATAGCAAATGTCTAAGGGTAGTATCAGGAGAGAACTTTACTCTCAATAGTCTGGGGAGATAAAAAGATTTTTATCCCATATTAGCAGGTTCTCTGTCAGTTTGAGAATTGAAAATCATAAACTAACATTAATCTAATATTAATTATATTATAATTATAATATCTAAGGCTTTTAATGTATCTATTGATCATAATGTTATGGAAATAGGCTAATTTCATGGTACTGTCATTGAAAAGCTGTATCCACATTGAATGTAAATTTAAATTTAAGAGATAAGATGTAGGCTGGAAATTTATTCCGTAGCAGAGTATATGTTTAGCATTCCAGAGGCCCTGGGCTTAACCTTGGTACCGTCGACAAAAAAAAGAAGCATAAAAACATAGTAATAACAAAAACAAGTGGCTCAGAATATTCAAACCAGGGGGATGGAAGCACAGCCATGTTCATCCAGCTAAAACTTGAAACAGTTGCTGGGGCTGGAGGCTGACAATTTCTCAACAAGGATTTGTTTGTTGTTTTTCATCTTGATCTTTAAAGTTCATTCTTCAAAGTTTAATAAAGAAGATATTAAAATTCAGGGTCAACACATATGTATGTGCTCCTGAGATCTCTGTTCTGGGATTCACAATTCTTAGTTTCCACTGTGGTTTAATCAACTATTGGAGGGGAATGATGAATCAATGAATTTTAAGGTAACTTCACAAATGAGAATAGTATTTACACCATAGTGTATGACGCCAGTGTTATGATTCCATTGCCGGAGGTGGGGGAAGGGAGGCTGTTTGTGTGTATTTCTGTACAGAAGATTGAGGGGGGACCTGCATATGTGTATTTCTGTACAGGAGAATGCACATGCGTGTGGGTGCCCACAGGGGCCAGTGGTGTTGGATCTCCATAGACCTGGAGTTACAGCAGGCTGTGAGCCACCTTACTTGGGTGCTTGGAACCAAACTCAGGTCCTCTGGAAGAGCAAGGTGCTCTTAGCCACAGAGCCATCTCTCCAGGTCCTGGAGTGTTGTTTAATGAGTCTCAACATTACAATCATGGTGGATACATCTGCCAAAATCCCATTTGTCAATACCAAGAATGAACTGTGCTCTAAAGGACAGGCAGCGATGACGTGTTGGTTCATCTCATCTAACAAATGCGCCGCGCTAGGGAGGCCTGACGGTGTGGTGGGAGAGGCCCTGCTTGCGTGGGTATAGAAGCATGTGGGACAGGTGCCGTCCGTTCTTTTTTCTGTGCACTGAAAAAAGCTCCAAAGAATAACGTCTACTTTACCCTCAGTGTGCTTACCCTTCGAAGTCAGAGTTTCTGGACCTTTCAGTTCTTTCAACAGCTTCAAGACAAAGGTGCTTCCTCTGAGTTTACTCCATACACTTTCTTCCAAGTATCTGTGAGGCAATTGTTACTCCTTGTGTTTACATCTTCAATTTTCCTATTCAGCAGGTTTCTTTCCAAACCCCTCAAGAGGCAAACAATAGCAGGGTCTTTGTTACAATGGATTTCTTTCTTATCAACATAAGATAAAAAAGCACACAAGAGAATATGAGACCCAAGATGTAATGGCCTTTTGTTAACTGCCTTTGGTTTAAATTGGGGTCTGGCAGGGACAATTAACGTGCCCAACTCTTTGAAGTTTCAAAGTTCCCATAGTCCTCTTTGTTCGGCTATGTGCTCATACGGGTAAAAGGCATTTAATTTTAGATTGGCTTGGGAAATTCAGAACGTATTCTCTCCTGATAAACATGATTTCAAATAGTAACTAATTTTCTATCAATCAGTAAATAAATGTTTGCCTAATAAGAATAAAATCTCACCTTGAAGTAAGACAGTATAGTCTGAGGCAGGAATTCCAGCAAGACTGGCTTCTAGCTCTCCAAGGAAAGGTGTGGAGAGAGAGAATGGTGCCCTAGAGGTCCCAGGAACTAGAGAAAAGATGGGACAGGGAAGCAGGGCTGGAGATGGAGGATGGGTTTGTGGGTCTAATGCTGAGCAGAGTAAGAGGCTGCATGGCAAGGCTCTGGTAAAGGATGAAACCGAGGGGCATGTGCCCCATGTCTCCTCTCACCCCTGGCACATCCCAGGACACTGAGTGAAGGCACAGCCTTGCCCCTGGCTGTTCGGGCCACTTCCGTTGTCTCTTCTAACTGTGATGTGTGTGTGAAATGTGTCTATTTTCTCCCCTCTGCCAACTCCACCCTAGACTAAACTCCATCGTCTTTCAGTTGGATTGCCACAGTCTCCTCAGCAGCAGTCTATCTCCCACACTCACCCTCTGAGATCTGTGACCCAGCTTTGGCAGCCAGGAGGATGTGAAGAGAGAAAGCACATGCCCTCTCTGGCTGCAGGGCCAGGTCCCTGGCTGCAGGGCCAGGCCCACCTTCTCTTTCCCTTGCATTTTAAATAAAGGTCAACATTGTCCCCTTTGTCTGCCTCCTCAGCCCCAGCTCAAGCCACACATGCCTGCTCATTGTGCTCCATCACAACCCTGGTAAGGCACCTGGTCATCAACCTAAACCCACTCACCTCCGCACACACCCCTGCCACCCCCTGCTCCACTGATTCCCCTCTACATTGCTGCTCTCTGCTTACTCAGACCACTTTCTCAGAGGCCTGCTATACAGATCCCAGCAGCTCGTGTCCACGACAGCACGGGTCTCATTTCACTGTGCACCTCTCAGTTTGGAATTATTTATTGACTCGTTCGGGTGAGTCCTCCCAACAGACAGTGGTCCTGGCCAGGACAGCAGCTGGGCTCTAGTCAATGCCCTGGACATTTTTTTTTAAGATGTATTTATTTATTATATATACAGTGTTCTTCCCCCATGTACGCCTGCAGGCCAGAAGAGGGCACCCAATCTCATTCTAGATGGTTGTGAGCCACCATGTGGGTGCTGGGAACTGAACTCAGGACCTCTGGAAGAGCAGCCAGTGCTCTTAACCTCTGAGCCATCTCTCCAGGCCCTCCCTGTACAGTCTTGCCAGAGCCTCACAATAAAAGCTGAAAGCTTTCTACGGAAGAGAGGAACGGAGCTGAAGTTAAAATACAAGCCTACTTTCATTAAAAAGGGGGGCTGAGAAAACATTTGAGAACTGGAAACACGGTTTAGTGGCGGAATGCTTGCCTAGTAATACAGTAGGTTGTAGGTCCCATCCCCACCACTTCGGCACTCACAGAGGAGTAAGGGCAATGGACAAAGAAAAAGAGGCTGGCTTCTCAGGAAGAGAAGCCGGTGAGAGCATCCTAGTGAGGTGGAGGCTCTGGAAAGCAGCCACGGCTGTGGCGATGGTTTCCGGACTAACGGGGCCAGGAGGCAAATGTGTGGGAACTACGCCGCCGGGGACTGCCTTTGGTGCTATGTGTGCATTAACCTTCTCCCAATGTCCTCTCTCTCTCCCTCTCCCCGCAGTCACTCCCGGGAGTGCACAGGATGTCAGCTGCCCCCTTGGCTCCTTCCCCTGTGGGAACATCACCAGGTGCTTGCCTCAGCCGCTTCACTGCAACGGTGTGGACGACTGCGGGAACCAAGCCGATGAGGACAACTGTGGTGAGTGGGGAGCCGCCGAGCCGCAGCCAGCAAGGCCTGGCCTCTCCAACCGGAGAGAACTGAACGCAGAGAGCATGTGGACCAACAGCTGGGTTTGCTTCGGTGTCTGCTCTGTGAAAGGACCAGAATGGGCACAAGACACCCCAAGACCAAGTTCTCAGCACCAAGGATATTTATTGGCCCTGGAGGGACAAAGGCATGCCTCGAGATAGAGAGGAGCCGGATGTATCCCATAGGCAAACGGTGGTTTATAAAGGGAATAGGGGAAACCCCGTGTTAGGATGAGTGGTTTGTTTTGATTGGGCATGTTAATTGGGGTATCCAAAAGAGGGCTTTTGATTGTTGGGCTTCAATACTTGGATAGCTGGACCTTGGTAGTCAGCCTCAGGAGGAGGAAGTGGCCAAATAAGGGAACAGACCTTGGTGGCTAGCTTTAGGAACGTAATCTGACAGTTTAGCAAGGCAGAGGGAATGGGAGAGAAGGGCAAAGCCTGCCAGAGCCGTGTTTGCCATGCTGGGGCTGGCTAGAGCCCTCCACCTCCCCGGTACTGTTAATACAGTGATGAACTGTCACATCCAGCTCCCACTGGTTTGTAGGGAATACTGTTGCTCTCAGTATTTCAGATAAGTAGTTATTCGGCACAATCAAGTGTTTTTAAGCCCAGAAACCTGCAGAGCTCACGTCTTTGAGGCACCATGGTGTCAAAATCGAGAACATGGTCTCCAGAGACTGAGCCTAGGAACCAACCGCTTTCACCAATTATGCAAACTTTTGAGAACACTTCGTAGCCTCTTCACGCCTTAGTTTCCTCATTTTGTAAAAGAGTTTAATGGCCGGGTGGTGGTGGCACATGCCTTTAATCTCAGCACTCAGGAGGCAGAGCCAGGTGGATCTCTGTGAGTTCGAGGCCAGCCTGGTCTACAGAGCGAGATCCAGGACAGGCACCAAAACTACACAGAGAAACACTGTCTTGAAAAGAAAAAAAAAAAAAAGGTGGTGTGTGTGTGGGGGGGGGGGTAATGATTGTACCTACTGTGAGACTTTGGGAAGATTAAGTATAAAGTTTTAGGAGAGTGCCAGGCGTATGACCGGGACTCACAACCTGTTAGAGACGAGGCTGGGGAGGAAATGTGAGAATTCCTGAAAACAGAAGTGGGTAAGTGGGACTCACTTGTCCCAGCAACAACCTGCCCTATGACCTTACAAGGCCAGCAAGTGAGGCTGTTGGCCAAGTCGAATATTTAGGAAAATAGCTTACAGTTGATATTTTTGTTCAAATTCCTGAAACTTGAGAGTACAAATTTATCAAAACAACTTGAATGCCCTGAAGCTGGTTCACTGCAAAAGGAATCTGTTAGTCAATACCCAAGTTAATAATATTCTCCCTTGTGGGAAAATACACTATTTCTGGAAGACGAAAACATACCTACAATGCTAGCATTGGATGCGCTGCGTATGTAAATGATAAGCCTGCAGGAGGTCTTGCTGCCCGACTCTGGGTGTTCCAGTTTCATGAAGCACCAACCTGAATGGATTAAACTTCCTTGACAAATAGACCTGGAAGGAGACAGAGCTTTAAAAACCTCCATTCTGTGTAAACCTCACTTAGTTTATGTCATAGAAGTAATGCTTGGGCCTCCAGACACAGGTCATTTCTTGTAAATGAATCTTATAATCACAAACCTAAGTCGTTGTCCTCAGGGGGTATGAAGTAACTATTTTCACCCAACTCCTTGCTGTGGGAATCCCAGTACAATAGCCAAGAACTGTAACTCGCTAACAAGGTCCTCAGTCTCCCTCCCTTTCTAAGCTTCCTCTGGCTTGAGCATCTCACCTGGGCTGAGGTGCAGAAGAGCAAGCTGCGATTTCTCTTACTTTGTGATGGTCCACATCTGTTCATTTGATTACCATGCCAAGTGGGCAGAAGCGAAGCTGGATTTAGGCAAGCCATCAGTCACTGAGGCACACCCTCCAGCCTCGGGCTTTTACAGCTTGGTTTGGTTTGCTTTGGTTTGGTTTTGCTTTGTTTTGTTTTTTGTTTGATACCTTCCCCTAGTTGTATTTTCACAACTTCTCAGTTTGGAACACTCTCTGTACATGGGTAGTAAGTCAAATGCAGACACTTAAAGTGGTGAGCAGAAACTACACACACCTTGGAGTGAGAGGTCCGCAAACACGTCAAAGAGTCGCGCTTGCTAAACTAACTGAATATCGCACCGTTCTTAAAAATGAAAATGTAGCGGTGGTCTGCATGCTGCCAGCCACTTTCCTCTGCACCTGCTTGTTGTTTGGACACAGTCCTAAGTGGAGTCCCATCAAGTGGGACGGTTCCAGGAAGCACAAGCCTGGCAGCTCTCTCAAATTCACCAGCAAAGGTGGATTTCAGCCTAAAGGAAACTCGAGCTTTCGTGCCAGTCTTAAAGAGACCATATTAAAGAATAAAAATAATAAAAGTAGCAGTCCTTGCGGTGATAATCTTTAGTCCAGTGCTTTCCTCAAAACCCCCCAGTCAGCAACTCACACAAAGGTAATAAGGCATTCAATACAGCTGGCTCAGCCTCTTAAGATTTCTACTGCAATGCTGGAATGGAGGGCGGTAAATGACCCTTCTTCTCCTTTTTAGAAAATGGGATGAAAGAGCGCCTATGGCCACAGGTTGGTAAAAGGATTCAATGAAGACTGGGGACACAGCTTGGCAGTCAAAGCACTTGCAACTCTCGCAGAGACTCTAAGTTCAATTCCCTGCACGCAGGTCAGGTACCTCAGAACCAGCTCTAACTCCAGCTCCAGAGGATGTGACTCCTTCCAAGGATGAGAGACAGAGACAGAGAGAGAGAGAATCTTTCCTAAGAGGATTAAATAAGATGCTATATATGGGAGGTGTTTAACAGAAGATAGATACAATGCATTTGTGCCCCCCCCCCAAGTTCATGCATGAGAATCCTGCCCTCTAAACATGTTGAAATGTTAACCTGATCCTCTAAGATGTCGGAATGCATGTTGCTGCTGTCTGTCCATGCCAGAGCAGGCTGGAACGCTCAGAAAGGACAGCAGAATTTCATCACCATCTGTGGAGTCAGGTGATAAAAACTAGGAGCTTGAGGTATTTCTGCCTCTCGTTGTTCTAATTTTTATGCTTCCAAGGCTGCTCACTTTTAAGACATCCATATTTAAATGCTTACTAATTCTAATTAAATTAAACCAGAAATTTGGTCTTTTCAGAATATATAAATTTCATGAATATTTGAAACAGTATTAGATATATTTCCAACTATGTAAAATAAAATATTTTAGCCTAACTAGATGAGATGAATCCATGATCATTTGTGATTAAAAGTATATTGTCAAATAAAATGTCATTTTTTAGTGGAAGAGGACCAAGGTAAATCTTAACTCAAGATTCCAGCATTCAGGAGGCAGAGGCAGCCAGATCTTTGCAAGTCGGAGGCCAGTATCATCTATAATTATGATGGCTAATGTCAGCTTGACAGGATCTAGAATTATCTGGGGGAAAAGCCTCTGGGAACATCTGGGAGAGGGTTTCCAGACAGAGTTAACTGAGGTGAGATTACCTACCCTAAATAAGTAAAGCACCTTTCCATGTCTGAGGTTCCAACTACATAAGCAAGCTGTGGGCAAGCACCGACCTCTCTCTTTCCTGAATAGTATTATAACATGACCAGCTGCCTCAGACTCCTGTTGACAGCTCTTGACCCAACACATTGGATTGTACCCTCACCCTGTGAGCTAAAAGAAGCCCTTTCTTCTTTAAATCGCTTTCACTAAATATTTTGTCATAGCAATGAACATTAAAGGTAACTGATACAAGAACTAGAGAGATGAATTAGCAATTACGAGCTCTTGCTGCTCTTCCAGAGGACCAGAGTTTGATCCTGGTACCTACATCAGGTGGCTGACAACTGCCTATAACTCCAGCTTCAGGAAATCTGACTCCCCCTTCTGGACTGATGACAAACACACACACACACACACACACCACATGCACACACGTAGCTAATACAGAAATGGGTGCCAGGAAGTGGCATCTTTGCTGTGATAAACATGCCCACGTGGTTTATAGGCTTTTAAAACTGGTTTGTGGGAGGAATGCAGAAGAGTTTGCAGGTACAGGATAAGGAAGTCTCAGAAGACTGTGAGCAGAACTTCACAGGCCATTCTGATGGGAGTTTGGGAGACCAGAATGCCAAGGGAAAGGGGAACAGGGGAGGCCCAGCTCCTGAGGTTTCAGGAAGAACTGAGTTAGAAGTCATTTTGGAAAAGATTCTGATTTCATTCTGCCTGTGTCCTGATCTTAACTCTGATCAAACCTCTAAGATGTCCAGGTATGTGCTGCTGTCTGTCTGTCCATGCCTGAATAGTCTGGAACACTCAGGAAGGACAGCAGAATTTCATCATCATCTGTAGAGTCAGGTGATAAAAAGTAGGAGTGCTGCTGAATTCCAAAGTAATGGACTTTCTTGTTGAGCAATGGAAATTCCAAAGTCGCATAGCATTTAGGCTGCCCATGGCAACGGCTCACTCTCTTACCCAGACCTGCAATGAAAGAGAGAAGAAAGATGTGAAAACTCTGGATCTGGCAAGAAAAGGAGTCTGAGGTTGTGGACAAAGACAGCATAGCAAAAGCAGCTGTAGTATATAAAAAGATTAGCACCATAAAAGATAAACATCATGTTCCGCAATGGGACAATAGGAAAGGTGCCCTAAGAAAGATCCTACCAATGAAACCTCCAGCTTGTAAAACACAAATAAATTTGGAAGGGGGCAGCCTAAACTAGGAATGATTAGTTTCTTGATGAAGAGAAATAACCTAAAAAGAGTTACCCAAGAGTCAGCAGCACACAGCAGTGGCTGCAGCTATGGTCCAAGAGAACTAGAGTAACCAGGAGCTGGCAGCAGCATCTGTGTGGTACTGATTTTATAGGCATGAAAGATGCAAGAGTGAGGGAGTCGTATAGGCTTGCAGCAAGGTCCTTAAATG